GAATTTAGTTTAATTTCACTCTAATCCACTTCAACACATGTGGATTGAGATGAATACATGCGCATCCAAACAAGGTCTAAAGTCCAAACTTTTCATACGTCCATGAGGGGTGTTTACAATGGATACTTAGCATTTCTTAATTGTGTGTCACTGCACGATAATAAGTCGTTGCCCCCAACTATTGAGGTTCGAGCACTTATATATATACTACTCGATCTACTTTCGAATAAAATTAACTCGAGTACATAGAGTACTACCATTTGATTCCTTCTCTCGGTAGGTCAGAAGTCGGAAGGACGAACACAAACATATATATACTACTCCATATACACATATATGGCAGTACAACTAATACGAAAATCCCGTTACAATTAGTCAATTATTACAAGCTAATTGTTGAGATAATATTTTTTTCCACAACGGTGAACCTGAATTTCCTTTTAACAAAGTAACAAAATTACAAAGTCAACAAATGCGTGATTTTGTTCATCAAATGCATGGTTTATTTGTCGTTCTACTCCAAAACTTTTAATTTTTCTGCATCAATATATAATAATTTATACAGGCTCATTTCAAAAGGCTGATAACTATTATCTCTTAGATTTATTATGAAAGATACTTTTTGATATTAAAAAGTGTTTAAGAAAACATATTTTTATATAGTCCTTTCCCGTCCTAAACTTTGTCCAGGTACTTCCTCCATTCCAAATTATAAGTCACTTTGATTTCTTTGTTCATCCATTTTGCTATATATCTAGACATATTATTATATCTAGATGTATAGTAAAAATAGATGTACCAAAAAAAATCAAAGCGACTTATAATTTGAAACGGATGGAGTACGTAGCAAGATAGGTAGACAGAAGCTGATTTAATTTGGGATCAATGGAGTATCAGTCAAAGTTGATTTCTTATTATGACAGAACAGATGGACACATGCATACCTATATTGCAGTATATTATATCTCTGTGATTATAGAAATAAAGTACCGAATGGTTCATCAGATCACACTGTCACATCACATCAGACATATATTTTAGAACAAAACGTCCCGATCTCGGTAGTGTGTCCATCAAACTACATCCAGTTGACAAGTATGCAACACAGTGCCTAGATAGATTGCATTGGCCGACCACACTGATAAGTCGTCGTTGCCCACAATTATTGAGGCTCAAGCACTTATTATTACTCCACTTGGGAATAAATTAAGTAACACGGTTATTACTACTCCCTCATTTCCAAATTATAAATCGTTGGCTTTTCTAGATATATAGCTTTTGCTATGCATCTGGACATAATGTATATCCAGATGCGTAGCAAAAGCCAAATATATATTTAGAAAAGTCAGAACGACTTACAATTTGAAATAGAGGGTGTATTTGATTTCTTCTTGGAAAGTCAAACCTCGGAAAGTCACAAGGATACTTCAAAAATTCCCATTTGGCAGTACACTAATAATATATACAAGAAAAAGCAAATCACAATTTGTCAAATATACAAGCTACTTCATGGGAACGTAAGTATAGTACCAGTATAAGTTCATCTAACGATGTTGTTCTAGATCAAAACTTCTCAATTTTGAACTTCAAATGTAATATTTTATAATTTGGAACATAGGAGTTCTAGATTTACTATGAAAATATTTTTATAATATATAATTTCAATATAAGAAAACTTTTTTTGTATAGTACGTGCTACTTAATAATTAACGTTGATTTTTTTTTGCTTAAGATAGGACTAGAAGGATGTACTTATATTCGTGATTGGAGAGAGTACATCACCGGCACATCATACATTTATATATATATACATCTATAGTATAGTTAAAGAAAAACGTCCCGATTGGTCATAGTCTTTGACAAACAGGGGTGGATCTAGGGGGGGGGTTACAACTGGTGCATCAATGGAAATATGGGGAGGGTGAGGGAGAAAAAGAGGTGGAGGAAAGAAGAAAAATAGAGAGAGAAAGGAAGAAGAAGAGACCAGCCTCTCATTCAATCCTGTTCTGCATCCGCCACTGTTGACAAACCGATGACATCCAGTTATATATGCAACACAGTCACTAGATTGGCTGACCACGCACGTGCAACAATCCATATAATTTGCCCGTGATTAACTGGAGTGGTACTACAAGTCTTGTACAAACTGCAACTAATTGCTTCTCTGCAACGAATTCGATCTCGAGGATACAGTTCCATTCCCCTACGTTGTACGTGCAGCTAGCTGTATCCTTGGTAACGGATTCTAATGTCAACTCTTCAAGTGCATTATTGGCATATAAAATACAGTCCCAAACGCAGTATCCTTGGTAATGGATTCTAATGTCAACTCTTCAAGTGCATTATTGGCATATAAAATACAGTCCCAAACGCAGTAGACGCTAAATATATTGTTTGGTTGAATACGCCCCGTTCACTTGAGCTTATTCAGCACTACTTTTTAGCTATGGAACAATATTTTTCTCTCACAACATTTCAGCATAAGCATCAGCATAAACCAAATTTCAGCATAAATGATGGGTTGAATAAGTGATCTGATAAGGTGCTGGAGGGGAAAAAACGAGGTTCGGAAAACGATACATGTGAATTTTATTTCTATCCGCAAAGAAAAATTCTCATGATCAGGGTACATTCAAAACGATTCACCGCTATATATACAAGCAGTGGCGGATCCAGAAACCAGCCACGGAGAGGGCTAATTAATCGAGGTTAAAAACCTTAGTAGTCGTACACTAATAAATGTAATAGTTATAACAAAAAAATCAAAAAATGATGCAGCTCCTGTTTGGAGAGTAATCGATGCTAGGCTTCACTGGCCAGCCTAGGCTCTGAGCCTTGATATCATGGATTGGTGGGGCTGGCCGGGCTCCTGCTCGCAGAGTTTGTGGGCTGTGCCCCGGGCTACAGCCCCCCTAGCCCGGGCCGTAGATCCGCCCCTGTATATAAGGCTAATTTGGCAGGTTCAGCTTCTTTCAAAATGGCTCAGGCTCTGGTTCGTCTGGAGAAACAGCTTTCTCTGATGGAACTGAAGCCTTACGAAGAAATGTTTGGCAAAATGGCTTGTCTTGTTTTCTCAAGAAAGGATATAACAGGTGAAATGTCCAATGTGCCCCTATGTATTTGACTTGTATATATGGAAGAAAAATTAAGATGTATTCTACTAGAAAGATTCAAGGGCTTGACCACAATTAACCATAGATGTTAGGAGTTATAAAGAAAACTAGCAAGACACAAAGAACAATTTTCCCACATTAGTGGAAGGATAGGGTTAGGTTCATAAAAGGGCTTGGATTGGACATGATTTTAGCAGATTAAAATCATCTAGGGGTAATTCAAAAGAGGTTCCAAGAAACATGAATCAAAACTTACGAATAAGATATATCTCTAGGGTCTTTTTTGCGAAAGCTTGACGACACGGCAAGGTAGCAATCGGTTCTAGGAGAGGAGCTGCGTGGCCTGGCCGCCAGGCTACATAGCGCCCGCACCGGCTACGCCCAAGCTGCCAGGCAGCATCTCCGTGCTGGCGTCACAGATGCAATAGATATAAAGTAACCCCTAAATTTACATATGTAAACTATCCACTTATGTCTTTATGAAACATATTGCTACAATATTGCTCGGGTACCACCAAGAAAGACTCATCCGATCGTGTAATACAAGGAAAAACACAAATTAGATATGCATCCAGATAAGGGAGATCCTGCTGTAACCGTCTGGAAAAAAAAATCCTAGTAGGTTTGAGAACCAATATGTAACAGTGCCCCAAGACAGTACGAGGCGAGTGTGGGCTCCCTATATCAAGACACCAGAAAATAGGCATCACAATACTTCCTCGCGAAAAGCCTAAACATGTATAACTCTGTATCTTGTGTTACCATCGAGCTCCACAGTCAACGCATAGCCCCATGTTCATTATTACCAATAACAAACACCGACAAAACACAATATGAAATAGACTCCAAATTTGCATCTAAACAACCCATTTTTATCATTATGATACATAATCTTAGCAACTTCTTAAATTTGCATTTAAGTTAGCTACTTTCTGCCTTTATTGAAAGTATAGATATAAAGTAAAATATTATCTGAAATCTATATCTAAATTATCAACAACATGAATAACCGTAAATTATACCTATATATGTTTATAAATTATTGAAATGCTAACTTATAGTGGTGTCGTCATGCAAACAAAGTATACATACAACCACAAATATATATTTGCATGTTTTAGTAATCACGCAAAATGTCTCCTTAACGATTCATATACCAATGGTGCTATAGCAATCCATTCAAAATTTTATTAATATCCATGACAATGATTTATATATGCTATTACATTAGATAAATTTATATGTTTTGATTCAGACATTATGATATATATAGTGTATGTAACTATGGGCGCACTCTATTTTTGAAAAAAAAAATACTACTAGACACAATTATCTAATAGAAGAGGGAATGATGATGATGCACCGTTATCTGACGAGAAGCTAGAATGTAATGCTTTTTTCAGGGAAAAAAACTCTGAAGAGTAACATTTTGCCGATATATCACGGTTTATTAGAGTATGCGAAAAAGGGCAATAACGACATTTCGAATGGCTTATGTATAGTTTGGAAATTACTAGAGACGCTGCGCCGTACCATATTATATTACTGGTGGTACGGATGAGAAAAGTCGTCTTCTCCTCTTTGCGTACGTCTACGTCTCCGGTGGCTAAGCGCGGGCGGCCAGGCTGCCAGAGTGGCTGCGGCTCTGCTAGCTAGTCGCCATCGGCCACCCACCGAACTGCGTTATATAAACACATGTACGGCCCCGTGTGATCTTGGCATCAACGTCGGACAAGCAAAAACTAGGGCAAGTCAGTGTGATCCATATCCATCCAAGTGGTGGTAAGTGTGCTCCGTACGGTCGTCGTACACGGCCGACCGTGAGGCTTGCCGCCGGCCGGCAACGACAACGACGGCGGCGGGCCAGCAACAACGACAGCAATAACAATGGCGAAGGTGGCGTCGAACGGGGCGTTCCAGGGGGAGAGCCCGCTGGACTTCGCGCTGCCGCTCATCATCCTGCAGATCTGCCTCGTCCTCGTCGTCACCCGCGGCCTCGCCTACCTTTTCCGCCCGCTCCGCCAGCCCCGCGTCATCGCCGAGATCGTCGTAAGTGCCCTGGCCCGCCGCCGCCGGCGCGTCCGTTTATTCATTTTCCATAGCTATCTATATATTATATCTACTAAGTGTGCATATGCATGCCGGGTCGGCCGTGTGCTGCTGGTCGACGGCCGGCCGCGGCCACTGCCACCCCGGCCTAGCCGGAGCCGGCGACAACCGTACCAGACTACCAGCCGTGTGTTGCTCCTGATCCAGCTACCCAGTAGCAAGTACTAACACCTACGGCTATTTTCTTAGATCTCGTTTGGGAGGGCTTCTAATTCCTCACCAAACGGCTCCAACTTGGAGATCTAAAGAATATTTTGTACTATAATAAAAAGTTATTCTCTCGCTTCTAGAAATAAACTAATACCTCCGTTCTAAATTATAGGTCGTTTTAAATTTTTTTGGTACATCTATTTTATTATAGATCGACTTTTTTAATACATCCATTAGCACAATAGATGTACTAAAAAAAAGTCAAAACAACTTATAATTTGAAACAGATGAACTAAAAAGGTATTCCGAGGTCTAAGTCATTCGAATGAGCCAAAGCCTAAAAAATAAAGCTAAAAAAACTCTGCCAAATAAACCCTCTGCTCTTGCTATTTGTCTATCCGTGTTGGTGGCATGCATGCTGGCGCGCGGCGACTCGCCTTCTTCCCACTGTGATGCCCATGCACGCAAGAATAAGGCTCTATTTAAAACACAAGATTTATTTTACATTTTTATGAAATATAATTGAAGTGTTTCTATTCAATTTCCGTGCGATTCTTATAAAATTCATGCATTCTAAATAGACCCTAGTAATAGTGTATGGCTCTGTTTGGCAGAGCTCTCGGAGTTGATTCTCTGCTCAATCCAGCAGAGCTCTGCCCAACAGTTTTTCAGAGAGAAATGATTCTCTGCTGATTTCGTGAAGTGATTCTCTAAAATGAACTAACAGACTGAAAATTGAAAAAAATTAGATTCTCCTGATTCTGTGAAGTGATTCTTCATCGTAATTTTGAGAGTTTATGCTAAAGAATCAAAGAGAATCACTTTCAGCAACAAAATCACTTGTATCGGAGAATCAGCTTCCATAGAGAATCAGAATCAGATTGATGTCTACCAAACAGGCCCTGTAAATGAGCAAGTCCAAATGAATCCATCTTTGATGGTACTATCCTGTGCGTACGTATAACTAGTCTAAACGATGACGCGCATGTTTGAAACATCAAACATATATGATATATGTAAACCCAAATATATATCTCTAGCTATAAATAATCGTGGAACATAACTAACTCGATCTTGGTGCTCATATCATACTAGGCTTAGCATGCAATGAGGTTGCATCAAGTTTACTTTGTGTATTCCCCAAGCCAAAAGCTTTTGAAAATTTTGAAGTCTTTGACTTCCTGCATGCTTCCTGTTTGGCACGACATCCCCAAAAGGTTCATAAGCTGTTGTGAGTTGTATTTTTACTAAACACTCTTTTCCAAAACAGTTCATGGGGTGAAGCTTTTTTTCATGCTCGCACAGAGGAATCGAGAGAGATGAAGTTGAAAAAAGTAGCTTTCCACAACTTTCTCTCTCTCTCATTTCTCTCTCAACCATGCATGAAGCTACTGGTGAAGTTGTTTTACCAAATATTTTTTCTAAAACAACTCATGAAGTTGTTTAAAAAAAAACTACTTCTCTAGTGAAGCGAGCTGGGCCAAATGGGACCTTAATAGTTAATATGCAAGCATTCTCCAGAGAAATCTGCTCATAGCTTCTAATAAGTTCTAACAGACACGGTCCCTATTTCCATGAGTAGTATAAATACCAAATTTATAATTTAATGAACGTTAAAAATAGTGACCACGTCAAATTGCTGCATATCGTCACTTGTTTTAACTCGAGGGAGTACACAACACACGCGTAATCGTATCGTACGAAATCTACAGTGTGAATGCATCATGCACGGTACGGTACCGTATTTCCAGGGGGACAAAAAAAATGCATGCTGATCCATTGATGACGTGGCACTCATGGCTTTGCTCGTGTCGCATGGTACTGTTTGCATGCAGGGAGGCATCCTGCTTGGCCCGTCGGCGCTGGGCCGGAGCACCAAGTTCCTGCACACCGTCTTCCCGCCGGCGAGCATGACGGTGCTGGACACGCTGGCGAACCTCGGCCTGCTCTTCTTCCTCTTCCTCGTGGGGCTCGAGCTCGACATCTCCGCCATCCGCCGCACCGGGAAGAAGGCGCTGGCCATCTCCCTCTCCGGCATCGCGCTCCCGTTCGCGCTCGGCATCGGCACGTCGTTCGCGTTCCGCGCCACCATCGTCAAGGACGCCCCGCAAGCGCCGTTCCTCGTGTTCATGGGCGTCGCGCTCTCCATAACCGCGTTCCCGGTGCTCGCGCGCATCCTCACCGAGCTCAAGCTGCTGACCACCGACCTTGGCCGCATGGCGCTGTCCGCCGCCGCGGTCGACGACGTCATGGCGTGGATCCTCCTCGCGCTCGCCATCGCGCTCTCGGGATCCGGCTCGCCGATCATCTCGCTCTGGGTCCTGCTCACCGCCGCCGCCTTTGTCGCCGCCGCGTTCTTGCTCCTGAAACCGGTGCTCGCGTGGATGGCTCGCCAGTGCCGCGAGGGTGAACCCATCAAGGAGCTCCACGTCTGCGCGACCCTCGGCATCGTCCTCGCTGCCGGCTTCGCCACTGACGTCATCGGCATCCACGCGCTGTTCGGCGGGTTCGTCGTCGGTGTGGTCGTCCCCAAGGACGGGCCGTTCGCCGGCATGCTCATCGAGAAGGTGGAGGACCTCGTCTCGGGGATCTTCCTCCCGCTCTACTTCGTCTCCAGCGGCCTCAAGACCAATGTGGCCACCATCAGCGGAGCCAAGTCCTGGGCTTGCTCGTGCTCGTCATCGCGAACGCGTGCCTTGGCAAGATCGGCGGTGCGGTCACCACCGCTCTGCTCGTCAAGATCCCTGTACGCGAGGCGGTCACCCTTGGCTTCCTGATGAACACCAAGGGACTCGTCGAGCTCGTCGTGCTCAACATCGGCCGGGACCGCAAGGTCCTCAACGACGAGGCGTTCGCCATCATGGTGCTCATGGCGCTCTTCACCACCTTCATCACGACGCCCATCGTCATGGCGGTCTACAAGCCTGCGCGGCCGTCAGTGCCGTACAAGCGCCGCACCGTGGAGTGCGCGCCCGGTGACGACGGCGAGCTGCGCGTGCTCGCCTGCTTCCACACCAGCCGCAGCATCCCGACTCTGCTCAACCTCGTGGAGGCGTCGCGCGGCACGGGGCGCCGCCGACTCGTCATGTACGCCATGCACCTCGTGGAGCTCTCGGAACGGTCGTCGGCGATCACCATGGTCCAGCGCGCCCGCCGCAACGGCGTGCCCTTCTTCAACAGCGCCGACAGGGAGGGGCAGATGGTGGTGGCGTTCGAGGCGTTCCAGCAGCTGAGCTCCGTGAGGGTTCGCGCCATGACGGCCATCTCGGACCTAGACACCATCCACCGGGACGTCATCGACAGCTCCTCCGGCAAGCGCGCAGCCATCGTCGTCATGCCGTACCACAAGGCGCTCCAGCAGGACGGCTCGTTCCAGTCGCTCGGCTCGGCGTACCACGCCGTCAACAAGCGCGTGCTCCGCGAGGCGCCCTGCTCCGTCGCCGTCCTCGTCGACCGTGGCCTCGGTGGCCCCGCGCAGGTGTCCGCCCAGAACGTGTCCTTCTCCGTCGCGATGCTCTTCTTCGGCGGGCCCGACGACCGTGAGGCGCTCGCCTACACGACGCGCATGGCCGAGCATCCGGGTGTCGCCGTCACGCTGGCAAGGTTCCGCCCGCATTCCGACGAGGAGAGCGCCGACGACGAGGCGGCGGTCGACGCTTTCAAGTCCAAGGTCGGCATGGTGAAGGATGGATCGGTGCACTTCGAGGAGCGGCAGGGGTACACCAAGGAGGAGGTGCTGGAGACCATCAACTCGCTGTCAAAGTTCAATGTGTTCGTCGTGGGAAGGATGCCGCCGACGGCGGCGCTGGTGGAGAATCCCGACGAGCTGGGCCCCGTGGGCAGCTACCTGGCGTCGCCGGAGTTCAGGACGTCGGCGTCCGTCCTAGTCATCAAGAGATACGACCCGGCGACGAATCCGAAGAGCAAGAGGTTCGACCCCAGCGCGAGGCCGCCGGCGGCGACGGAGGACGTGCTCGACGAGGAGATGGGCACCAGATCCACTGTGGTGCCAGTGCCGTGGTCGCCGACGAGCGACGCGGCCTGAGCAGAGCAAGACGAACCGTACGTGCCGAAGTGTTCCCTTATTTAGCTCTGTGTTCTTTCCTGCTGCATCTGATTTCCACGCAGACAAGTGCAGGTATGATGCAACTTAAACATGTCCCCCCTCAGTCTTACTACTACATAAGTACATCACTGTTATAATCATCTGGATTTGCACATAGAAAAAAAATATGGACATACTTGGTGGAGAAATATATAATTGTGGAATTTTATACTTTCTTGAAGAAAAATGGCAGGGCGATCTGTTTTTTTTTCGAATACACAAAGGTTTGTGTATCTTTGTATTAAGATAAAGAGTTGTTGAAAACAACAATGACGCGCCTCCACCTGAGCGCGCTAGGGGGGGTTTAGGATTTTACAATGGACTCGGACATCCTTAGCTTACATGATACCTTAGGGTTATTACTCACTTAACAAACTACCAAGCTTGGATGCCCCGGCTTCGATCCATTGGTCTGGTCCGCTCCGTACTGGATCAATGCGAGGAGTTCTAAAAAAGCATAGAGTTGTTGCGCTGTCTTTCTTAGCACGGGTCGCTACAACTAGTGAGAAGGATCCTTCATTTTGAAAAATACATCGGTTTTTTTCTTTCCACAAATGATTCTACATTATGTAAATGACCATGCCATTGAAATCATGCTTCTTTCTTTGGCTCCGCTTTAATTGCCGTTTTCTACCAACCACGATGGAGTTGGAATTTTAGACTTTCCTGAATATTAATTTCCAAGTATGTGAAAAATCAAAACTATTATGAGAATCTCCTTAAGGGCAAGTATGTTAGTGGTGTCTTACGAGCGATCTTACATAGTGCCACATAATCTTGAGTTGACTTATTAAAAAATCTATACAACGAGTTGTTTTTGGGTTACCTAGTATACTTGTAGTAACTCAAGTTCATTGATTTTTACATAGAACAAAAGGAATGGCATGAGTTACTCCCTCCGTTAATCATGTTGATGATACTGTCTGGTTAGGAAATGAAGTAAATGTATATGTGTCTTTTGTATTCTCTTTTAGTTTATCCTAAAATCTCTAGAATGCACTATATTACAGGACAGAGTGAGTACATGGCAACACCTCATGCAATGGTGAAGTAGTCTCATAATCCTAATATTGAGCTTATGATGTGGTTATTTCACGAAAAAATGATTTCTTTTCCTCATCTTCCTCTCTCCTATCTACATCGTAAAAAATCTAATGTGGCTCTGCATGAGACGATTAATGAGACTACTAATGTGTAGCAATATACTTGTCCTAAGGTATAGTATTGGCTAGTGAATAAATCAAACTAGACGAAAGCAAGTAGTGTAATTAATTTTGCACTAAAAACTGTGGATGAGCACGTAGGGTGGCAATTCTCTCCCGAGATGAGTTTTTTTTATAATAAAATTTAGTCACCCAAAATGTACCTAATTGCTTTTAAAATACGAGGAGAAAAAAAACAACTATTGAGCTTAAAGATGCTAAATATATATAGTGCCGTTGGACAGCACCGATTTGACTTTTGACATATTTTCACGCCCCTTATAGTCAGAAGGAAAACAACAGCGTTTTAGGAGTGGTTTCAACTTTGCCTACGGAGGAAATGAAGGGGAGCAGAGATGTAGAGCCGTGTGTGTGACACTATATAGTTGTTGTTGTCAAAATGCGAGGAAGGATAAGGGGTGAGGCGGTAATAAGTACTCACACTATTCCAAATTACAAGACATTTTTATTTTTATAGATACATTGCTTTAACTATGTATCTAGGCATAATGTATATCTAAGTGCATATCAAAAGCAATAAATCTAGAAAAGACAAAACGTCTTATAATTTGGAATGGAAGGAGTATTAACTTTAGATTTGTGTCACATGGTTAGCTAGAAAAAGAATCATACAATTGCAATGAAGTTAAGGGCACCTAGCTTGAGCCAAGATACCTTGAGACTTTTGCTCTCCCTTCCATCTTGAGTACCCTCAATCGTGCAGGAACTAAATATGATCTATTCATTCATTTTTAACACTCTCACTCCAGCTAGCCTCACCAAGTCACCATGCACCACATAGTGTGATTAGGGCAGTCCCAATAAAAGAAACTAGTAGTTTCTATAACATAGGATACCGCACCAAAAAAGTACTGCTTTCCAACCCATGGTTTCTATGAGTAATAATTATTTTCTCTTTCTCTCTCCCAACTCTATCTTCTTCCTCCAATGGGAGTGCGACACGAGCTCCCTAGAAACTGGTGGTTTCTCCCCAATGATGATTTCATGGTTTCTTGGTGCATTGGGTCAAGAGTAGACCTGATTTCTTCATGAAGAAACCATTTCTATGATTTTTGCTCTCTTTCTTCATTAATTACGTTGTCATGTCAGCGTTTTGACTACGTGGCAAGTCATTTAATGAGGATAGAAACCATCATCAATACACCGTTGGACTGCCCTTACTAGACACCTTTTTCTCCTATATGCTCTCACCCGAGCCCTAAAACCAATAAGCCTATCCCTTCTCTGTCCTTGGTATCCTATCTATACTAGCCTCACACAACCATCAGATACCTACATGCATGATGCATGGCACTATTGCCCCCATTACTCTCTACCTCCCCAATGATGGAGCTATAGGGTGGTCCCTGTTGGTCATGGACCACCTTCAGTTTTGGCCCAAGGCCCGGTATCTCTAGGACTTTTGGGATTTGGCCGATCAATGTCTTCTCGCATTCACATATTGAATCAACTTCTCTCGTTTGAGAGCGTTTCTCTGGTCAACCATCGAGGCCAAAGGCACCAACTAGTGGCAAGAATAGCAGTTGTCCGGCAAGTAGAGAAGAGGTACGTCCCGAACTCTTGAACTCCCTTTCGCAGCTTCTAACGTCTAAGCAGTAAGGCCCTATTCCTCTAAACATGAACCAGGAGTGCTCGACACAGGACTCCATAGGGACCGCAAGAGTGACAAGATGCAAGTACTACTAGCACCCTTTGTCCATGACACGTTGACGATCGGCATAGACAATACAACTGCACAAGGCACGGTACGCAATTTACATTAAGCAAGTTAGAGTTTGTTCATTTATTAAGATGTTCATATGACCTCTAGTTTACTCGTATGACCTCTAGTTTACTCGTATCAGCATTTTCAGACCACCATTTGTATGAAAAGACCCTTGGACTAATTAATCCATTACGGGAGAAGATTACATGGCATACTAGCTCAACTAACATCAGAGAAGTTATACATATATAATTGCTAAATGTTGAGGGCACAGCTAGGAACAACTCTTGGTAGAAGAATTTCATGGGGGCAATGGCTACGACTAGGAGCAATGAGATATCTACCGATCAAACTGCATATACTATGTGAACCAGGCCAGCTAGCTAGTTTGCATGCCCTAATAAAAGCTTAATCAATGATAAAAAAGTGTATATAGCGCGTGAATTAGCACGCACAAATAATCTTTACACTTGTATATGGCGGCGTGTGGTAGTTCCCTATTGCATAATAATTATTAAGGCATTTGTTTGCTCAAGAATGTGGTTTTTTTTCTACAAGGGTGACAAGGGCATTGCGTCCTATATTATTAGAAGGTACAGAAAAAAATACAGAATGTTAAAAGGAAAATGAACACCAACCGCTACAAGTACGTAAAAATAGCATTCAAAAGGACCAGGAACACCAAAACCTTAGAGCAACCACTTGGAAAAAAAAAAACCCAAAGAGCGTAGGAGAAGAAGTACTAGAGCACGTGTTCCATGACAGATTCGGAGAATCTGAAGTACTGGAGCAGGTTAGTGGATCTTGGACAGGAGCAGGTTAGTGGATCTTAGACAGCTAGCGCACCTATCGAGAACCTGAGGTACTTAACTTTTTTAAGGAAAAGGAAATTTTTTATCCTCTGATACAGTCAAGGTCTTATATATAGTTTTCAATTAATAAGAGTCTATTTTGCTTGTCCATCCAATTATTGCCAAAAATGTCAAAAACAAGGACCTCTGAAGCTTTGCTTGCCGAATGGACGGCTCTCATATCCTCTAGCTGCAACAACTCCAAAAACGCACCCAATATATTCCAATCATCATGTTTGGATAATAAGGGTTAATTATTAGCTAGCTAATTTTTTTAACTCAAATTAATACTAGTACATTCAAACATGAGGGCTAATATATATGACCTGACTTTTTAGCCAAGTGTATTGTTCAACGAGCTGTTAGGCAACTAGCTAGTCAACCGCAACTAACTTGGAATATTTTAGCCCCAACTAGTAACTAGTCATGTGTATCTAAACATGCCCTTAAGTCAATCCGGTAGAGTTGCTCTCCAACCAGTGGCGGACATAGGCTCCGGGGTGGCCGTGCTGCAGCCCGGGTCCTTGACCAAACGTACCAATGGTAAATCATCTAAATAATGAAAGATTAGAGCTCTATTTGTCCCGGTCCTAGCGTGATCTTGGATCCGCCCCTGTGGCCCTGTCTCTAACAATATAGTTACTATTACTACTACTACCAACTGAACAGAGTCAGTCCATGATAACCAATAGTGAGACACAATAACACCATATATAATTACTGCTGTACCAATCGAAGAGTCTGATAACCAATCAACAACGAGAGAGAGGCATAGTAGTTGTGTTACTTGTCCTTGGAACCGCAGATTATATAAGTCGTCGAACATGTTGCAAGCATATTCGATCGCTCTAGTACAAGAGTACTCGTATGCCCCGTTCGACTTACCCAGAAACCGGCTCGTTCGGTTTGTTTTTTCAGCCAGAACAGTGTTTTTTCTCAAAACAATTCAGCCAGAATAGTATTTTTCAGCCAATTTCAGCCAAGATTCAGCAAGCCGAACGGGCCCATGGCCCAATGCAACCAGCAGGTATTATATATAGTAGCCACCTCCACCAATTAATGCAAGTGAGAACACATGCTGCTGCATACACAGGCCGTCCGAGTTTTTCAACACATGCTAGTGAGAACACATGCATCCAGCATGCTTCCCGGGGCGGCCTCTTCCTCTTGCATGGCGCCGGACTTATATAAAGTCCATCCCACTAGCTAGTAGCTAGGACAAGTACTTAGTACTACCTCCATACAGAACACTACTATTCTAGGGCATATAATACATTTTTTTAGAAAAGAGAAATTAATGCATATAGCTATTCCTTATTACAAGTACCGGCACAAAGGTCCACGCAATCTCAAAAACAAAGTTTCAAAGAGGAAGAAGGTAAAATTTCCCAAAGCAACATCTAAAACGCAATTCTATTACTGAATCTTCAACCATTTCTTGCAAACACCTCCATCGCGGTTGTCTCAATCTTCCTCCAACCCATCTTCATCATTTGGCCATCCTCCTCTTTCTGTAGTAGGGACCATAACCTGATCCAGTAAGTCCCCCTGAAGATAACCTGCAAATAAGATGGTGATGTGACCTTATTCGTGGTTTTCCCGCTAGGTCAACTACTACTTGTACTCCTTTTTTTTTTGCGTCTCCAAAGTCCACCACTTGTATGTGTACAGTACTCGATCTCTCCTCCAAAAAAATCATTCTCTAGGGTCGCTTCAAGTTAGAGTTCTCTTAAGTTTGACCGATTCTATGAAACAAATAACATCATCTATGACACACCAAATAAATACATCATATAGTTTATAATATATATATATATATATATAGTGATGTTATTACTTTGATGTCATAAATAAATATAATGGCTATTTTCTACAAATTTCATCAAATTTAAAATAGTTTGACTTAAGACAACTTCAGAAGTTGATTTAAATTAGAGGTCGTCGTCTAATGAGTGTACAACAGGGCGATAGATTGATAGAATAATGCGCGTGATAATCCATATCGTTTTTCAATTCTTAAGCCTCTATATAGCCGAGCGTCGTTATCAGAAAGAGCCAACTTTGATATTTGTCTCCTTGTCACACTCACCTCTTACCTTTTTGCCGTGCATGCATCGCCTCCTCCGTACAACGTACGACAGTATATTTTTGTAGTACTGGTCGTCGGACTTTGGACCTCGAATTTCTGAGGTTGTGTCCATGTAACTATCCACCTCTGAAAATCAATTTTTATAGACGGTTAACTTAAGCGGGGTGTCTCTTGAAACGGACCGATTTTCATGAGCAAGCTAAGCCTCATACCAAATGTCTCTAAAAGTTGATTTTAGAGACAAGTATTGGCTCCCGACGATTTCTAGAAACGGTGAAGACGGAGAACTACCTCTAAAAAATAAAATGTATTGACTCCTAAAATCCCTTTTTCGATAGTGGAGTTAATAGGAACTAGCGATACATGTATGTAGGAGTGTGTTCAGTGAGTGATAGTATAGGGAACACATTTACTATTAAGTATATAGGTTTTCCTTCTTCGGAGTTGCCCCAAAACACCAAAAATATGGCTGATGTCCCAATGACATATTTTTTTTTTGGACAAATGTCCCAATGACATCTTATCTTAATAGATTAGTAACTTTTAACAATATACTAGCTTTTAAGTGTTTTGGATTTTTACAAGTACTGGACGTAATAATTCTACATATCCATACAATATAAGTGATAAGTCGTTATGAAACACCCTATAAAAACAAACTGTGCACATTGGCGGCTGCGAGCTGCGCTTAGGCCTACTAGGCGTCCAAGATTGTGACATGCGACGTTAGAAGTACCTCTCCATTGGATTTTCATGACACTTCTTGTCCATTATCTTTAGCATCCATGATTTCTTCTACTTCTTCTTTTGAATGCTTTTAAATTTATTCTTTTAAAAAAAATCTAATTCTGAGTGGGCCTTCATTAAGAAACATCAGGTTTCGTGGCGGTTACTGTTCATCCAGCGCTCCCTAAGACTCAAATCACTGTATATCAGCAGTACCGGGTACTGGGTCCACTACGAACAGTACCGGATCCGCGATAAACAGTGCTCCCCCGACAAAGACACGGTCCCAACCCGATAAGAAAACAGTACAAACCCGATAAAGAAACAGTATAAACCCAATACAAAACAGTCCATACCCGTTACGGAACAGTACACACCGTTCTATCTTCCCCGCCCGCCCGCCCCCCCCAGTGTGCGTTCCATGGATCGTTTGGGCGGCGCTTTGGATGCAAATATGCAATGTCAACGCCTCCTCGTTGCATTATTGCCCCTAAACTAATCAGCATACGTACTACTAGGAGCCTTCTTCATCGTCTCGGCTTAGCTTCCGATCCGGACACGTCGTCAGTGACCCGCACGGTGACGTGGCCTGCTGGGGTCGGGGCGCCCTCATCCTCGATCTCGCCCTATAAAACCGCGCTCCGATCGAGTTTGGTTTCAAAATTTCAAACCAGCACCACCCACGCGTCGGCGGCGGCGATTGCGGCGGATGCCCCGCGGCTAGCGTCGGATCGCTCTACTAGCTAGCTAGCCACGCGCACGCAGTCACGCACGCAGCGGTCGATCGGAGGAGATGGCGGCGAACGGAACCACGGTGAAGTGCCCGGGGCCGATGAAGGCGACGTCGCAGGGGGCGTTCCAGGGGGAGAACCCGCTGGACTACGCGCTGCCGCTGGCCATCGTCCAGATCTGCCTCGTCGTCGTCGTCACCCGCGGCCTCGCCTACCTGCTCCGCCCGCTCCGCCAGCCCCGCGTCATCGCCGAGATCATCGTGAGTACTCCATCCCTCGCTCACGCGTGCAGCATGCTGCACTACTTGTTCCGTCCATCCAATTCCCCGGCCACCGCCGCCGGTTACCGGCGTGATTGATTGATTGATTATTTGCTAGCTTATTACATTGCTCGCTCGGCGGGATCTTATAATTAGTAGACGGATTATTAGGGGTACGATATCTAGCATGCATGCGAGTAGTAAGCGCGTGCGCCGGCCACGCTAGGGTTCGGCGGGCCGGCCGGGATTTGAATTTGTGGGTACGCGTCCGCGGGCGGCGGCGCGGCGCGGCTCGGCTAGCTCTCCGTTGCAATTGAGTTCCCACCCTCTTCGGCGTCTTCGCCCCGCCCATCCATCCACCCTCCCTTCCAGGTATGAATTGTCGGTCGTCGTCGCCTACAACCCCCGAATTGATGGATCATCAGCAACCAAGTGGTGATGCAGTCAAACTAGTTCCAGTTCGCTCCTCCCATTCCGATCGTGTGGAAGCCGCTGCGCCATGCCACACTCACGTGGTGGACACAGCATATCCGGATCTCAGGATCAGCTGGCCCTGGCCGGCCGTCCGGATCCCAAGTCAGCAAGTCTCCAAGCCTTGGGGAGGGAGACCCTGCCTGCCTCAGATAACCCCTGCTGCTGCTCGGATTCTCCTCAGAGATCGATGATAGCTCGATCGGGAGATTCGATTCCTAGCATCTATCTCCCGTCCCCGTGAATAAACAAACTCCCAAATCCCAGTTATTATAAGATCATTATCCCTAATCCCTTAGCTTCGGGACTACCCTGCCTTGCCTGAATTCCTTGCACCGCGCGCACCATGTCTAGGCTGCTCTTGCATGCCTTCATGATACTCAGCCACGTCTGCATGCATGACACTGCGAGTCTCTCGCGTCTGGCTAAGACCGTCTCCAATAACGTACCACAAACTCAAAATGTGTCGTATGACCCAAACCGATGACCCAATTTGCATCCCATGCGAGGCGAAAGGCAAATAAGCGTCTTGGACGGAGACGACGCAAATCTCTGACGCCCGAAGTGGTGGGCCCATGGCGAGGCGCGGCCGGCTCGGCTTGGCGAGACCGCGGAGGAGCGCGACCGGCGCGACCACGCCGAGGAGCCGCTGACGCTCCGAGCAGGCAGCCGCGCGGGCCAGATCCAGCTCCCAGTGCTCCAGTCGCCGTCGGGGCCGCGCGTGCCGTCGTCCTTAGGCCACCGTCGGGACCGCGCGGGGTAGTCCTCGGGGACGCCGCCGTGCGCCTGTGCCAGGGAAGGCCACCGTGGGGAGGTCGCGCTGGGGCGGAGGAGGTCCGGTGGGGTGGGGAAGAGGAGGCGCAAGGCCGGCTTGGGAGGAGGCACGCAAAGCAGAGGTCACCGCGGGGAGGAAAGGCCGCCGAGCTGGGGGCAGGGCATAGCCGCCGCCGCGCGCGCGCCGGTGCTTGCCGTTGGCGAGGGGCTCCACCGGCGAGGGAGGCCGGCAGGGGAGGGGCGTGGGCGGGGAGGAGTGCCGAGGAGAGAGGCTGCACGTCGGGAGAACCGCTGGGCGCTGCCGTGAGGCTCGCTGCGCAGGGGGAAGCCAGATCCGGGGTCGGGCGCCGCCGGGGAGGGCCGTCGGGGAGGGATGGGACGCTGGGGAGGGCCGGTCGGTGCTGCATGTGGAAGGAGAGGGAGCAGGTGAGGATTTTTGCGTAGGTTGTTGGAGAAGACATGGTGTTGGTGCGGGACTCTTTCACCATACGTGACCTAAATCATGGAATAGGGTGTGCTCGGTTGGAGATAGTCCAAGGATGGTGGATATGCATGAGCATGACGTGTGATGTTAACTCCACGGTAGCTCAAAGCCGTTTCTTCTTTCTACACCTCTTTTTATCTTTTACAACAAGTAACTAATCTGCTTACATATGGAGGGACGACGTTTGAGGACATCTGCACATACATACATAGTACCAACAACGAACCCGTAAAGCGCTAGCGACGACCTCTCCCGTTTCCGTTGGACTGTAGCACTCCTATCTAATCAGCGTGGCCTGTTATTTTGACTATCCGACATGTAGTTCTCCACACGTTCAGACTCACATACACACACACACACACACACACACACACACACACACTGACATACTGCATTTTTTTAGGATACGGCTTGCATCGTCGTTGAACTGATCAATAAGTGAACGAGGGCTAGTTTCTAGGCATGGTTCATCTATCTATCTATCTATCTCAGCGACCTTTGCTTCCGCTGCGTGCGTGTCTTGCATTGGTTCTAGTCATCAAAGTCAACACTAGTTTATGGAGGGTATCTGCACAGCAAGTCACCACACAACAGCAAGTGTGTATAGAAAACTAGGATGCGCGCTGTTTTTATGTGCATTATTGCAAGGAAATGTACACTTGATGCATGCATGTCCACCTCTCTGCCAACCTACTACCTAGCTGTCATTGCCATTGACCTGCTGCACATGGATTGCTTGATCAGGAAAAAGAACACACAGATAACAGTTGCAACAAGTACTAATTAAACAATTTTTTCAATCGTAGCGAGGGAAGCAAAACGGCTATTAGCACACGTATAGTATATTCCATTCATGCTTGCAATTCAAGTAGCAGCCACTACTTCTTTTATTCTTGCATGCTTCTTTCTATCATTATCAACTGCCATCATTGTTGTCAAAAAAAAAAAAAACTGCCATCATGCATTCATCAAGTGATCTGATCCCTTAGGAAATCGCATACTTTACCATCAGTAACTCTTCTAGTTTAACTTCTGATGATGCAAACCGGCTCTTCAAGTTCTCTAGTGTCACTACGAAGAATTAAGGGCCGTACTTATTAGATCACTAATTCCTTCACTGGAGTCTCTTCATCCTAAAAAGAATACAATTCTAGGTCTTGAACAAGTCAATTATTTTAAATTTAACTATGTTTTTGTCTTCTAATAGGTTTACTATGAAAATATATTCCATGATTAATCTAGTGATGCTTATTTGATATTATAAATGTTAGTATCTTTTGTATAGAATTAGTTAAACTTGAAATTATTTGACTCCTTGATAAGTGATAATTGAAAAAAAATTGGGACAGAGGGAGTACTTGCAAATTTTACAGCTTAATTAGTTTCGTATATATTCCTGGTACAAGTTCTGGACTCTATATTGTATTTAATTAAAAATACAGTGCAGCAACAAAAAATCATTTCAGTTCTAGCAATACCACAAACAGGTTTTTTTTTTCACGAACGAAGTGATCTGCATGCATATGTTTACCATGATGAATGAACGATGGTCTGATGACTTGCCTGGATATGATGATGCAGGGAGGAATTCTTCTAGGCCCATCGGCGCTGGGGCGGAGCCACAAGTTCTTGCACGCCGTGTTCCCAGCTCAGAGCATGACGGTGCTGGACACGCTGGCCAACATCGGCCTGCTCTTCTTCCTGTTCCTCGTCGGCCTCGAGCTCGACATCTCCGCCATCCGCCGCACCGGCAAGAAGGCCCTCGCCATCGCGCTGGCCGGCATCAGCGCCCCGTTCGCGCTCGGCATAGGCTCGTCGTTCGCGTTCCGTGCCACCATCGTCAAAGGCACGCCGCAGGGGCCGTTCCTCGTCTTTATGGGCGTGGCGCTCTCCATCACCGCTTTCCCGGTACTGGCCCGCATCCTGGCCGAGCTGAAGCTTCTGACAACGGACCTGGGCCGCATGGCCATGTCCGCCGCGGCGGTCAACGACGTCGCCGCCTGGATACTGTTGGCGCTTGCCATCGCCCTCTCCGGTTCCGGCTCGCCGATCGTCTCGCTGTGGGTGCTGCTCACCGCTGTCGGATTCGTCATTGCCATCTCCCTGTTCCTTCGCCCGGTGCTGGCCTGGATGGCGCGCCGCTCTCCCGAGGGAGAGCCCGTCAAGGAGGTCTACATCTGCGCCACCCTCGCCATCGTCCTCGGGGCTGGTTTTGTCACCGACACCATCGGCATCCATGCCCTGTTCGGTGCCTTCATGGTGGGCATTGTTGTCCCCAAGGACGGGCCTTTCGCCGGCGTCCTCATCGAGAAGGTGGAGGATCTCATCTCGGGGCTGTTCCTCCCGCTCTACTTCGTCTCCAGCGGGCTCAAGACCGACGTGGCGACCATCAAGGGTGCCAAGTCCTGGGGCCTGCTCGTGCTCGTCATCGCCAACGCGTGCCTCGGCAAGATCGGCGGCACGGTGATCACGTCCCTGCTCGTCAAGATCCCCGTCCGTGAAGCCATCACGCTCGGGTTCCTCATGAACACCAAGGGGCTCGTGGAGCTGATCGTCCTCAACATCGGCCGGGACCGCAAGGTGCTGAACGACGAGGCGTTCGCCATCCTGGTGCTCATGGCGCTGTTCACCACCTTCATCACGACGCCCATCGTGATGGCTATCTACAAGCCGGCGCGGCGGACGGTGCCGTACAAGCGCCGCACGGTGGAGTGCGCCCCGGGCGACGCGGACAGAGAGCTGCGCGTGCTGGCGTGCTTCCACACCAGCCGCCACATCCCCACGCTGCTGAACCTGGTGGAGGCCTCCCGGGGCACAGCGCGCCGCCGCCTCACCTTGTACGCCATGCACCTTGTGGAGCTCTCGGAGCGGTCGTCGGCCATCAGCCTGGTGCATCGCGCGCGCCGCGACGGGATGCCCTTCTTCAACGGCAAGGAGCAGCGGACGGAGCAGGTGGTGGTGGCGTTCGAGGCGTTCCAGCAGCTGAGCTCCGTGCGGGTGCGCGCCATGACGGCCATCTCGGACCTGGACACCATCCACCGAGACGTGATCGACAGCGCCGCCGACAAGCGCGCGGCCATCATCGTGATGCCGTACCACAAGGCGCTCCACCACGACGGCACCTTCGTGTCGCTGGGCTCGGCGTACCACGCCATCAACAAGCGCGTGCTCCGCGAGGCGCCCTGCTCGGTGGCCATCCTCGTGGACCGCGGCCTCGGCGGGCACGCCCAGGTGTCGGCCAAGAACGTGTCCTTCTCCGTCGCCGCGCTCTTCTTCGGCGGGCCCGACGACCGCGAGGCGCTGGCCTACGCGACGCGCATGGCCGAGCACCCGGGCGTGGCCGTCACGCTGGCGAGGTTCCAGCCGAGCCGGCCGCAGCTGCTGGACGAGGCCGAGAGCGCGGCCGACGAGGCGGCGGTGGAGGCGTTCAAGGCCAAGGTGGGCGCGGTGAAGGACGGGTCGGTGCGGTTCGAGGAGCCCGAGGCGTACACGAGGGAGCAGGTGGTGGAGACGATCGAGTCGCTGTCGGGATTCAACGTGTTCGTGGTGGGTCGGATGCCGCCGGCGGCGCCGCTGGTGGAGAAGCCCGACGAGATGGGCCCCGTGGGGAGCTACCTGGTGTCGCCGGACTTCAGGACGTCGGCGTCCGTGCTGGTGATCAAGAGGTACGACCCGGCGACCAACCCCAAGAGCAAGAGGTTCGACCCCAAGGCGAGGCCCCCGGTAGCGACGGAGGAGGATACGCTGGACGAGGAGATGGGGATGGGCAGCTCCACCGTCGTCGTGCCCGTGATGCAATCGCCGATGAGCCACATCGCGTGAGTACGTGTACGTACAGACGACGAGCTAGCTGCATGCGCTCGCTCGCTCGCGCTGAGGTGTGACGCGTGTCGTTGTATGTGTAGTCGCGTGCTGTTTCCTGCTGGTGCTCCACCTCCACCTGATGACGAGCGTTCCTGGGCTCGCCTGCATTAGCATTACTACATATATGGCCGCGACGACGTGCGGTCGGTCTTACAGGAGAGATGAAGTATTGAATGAAGTGTATATACACTATACGTGTGCTTACTGTGACATGCTGTTGTACGACTAGCGTACATGCATGCTTTTGGGTAGCTATAAGTTACCCCCGTACTGTCGGTATTCATCAATGTATATATACAAATAAGCTCCTATTTTCCCATTCGTACTGATGAGCTATAGCTTGTGAAGATGCTCGGATAGAAGTGAGCAACCTGTTTATTTTCTTATCAAAATCCCTTGTGAAATTACTAGGCTGTAAACAGTGTGTGTGTGTTTCCATGAGTTCGGAGCTAATTATTCATTTTTTTCAAGAAATTAAACAGCAGCTGCATATGAATCCTACGAGAAAGGTAATTAATCCATTTTTTTTATGTTACAGCATGCCCAGGTCCAATGGTGAGGACGGTGGGCATCCCCTCCCTCCTCCCAAGCGGCCCCCAGCCCTAGGGCCTCTCTCTCCGGCTCCCCTCCAGCCGCCCTCGGGCGTGCGGCCGCGGCGGCCCCGAAAATTTTGGGTATCATCCGCACCTCAACCTCCCACCTCCTCTCCTCCACCTCTGCTACTCTGGTGGGATGACCGGCTGGTGGGGCGGATCCGGGCCTCCCTAGGCCGGATCCGGCCTCCCCTCCCCTGGATCTGCGACAACGGCGGGGGCGGCCGCAGGATCTCGGCTACCTGCAGGGGCCGCGGCGGCGGCCGGGCTGGGGATTGGGCGGCGTGCGGCGGCGCCGGCCGTGGCCATCTCCTGCCGAGCCGCCGGCTGCTGCCCCGCAGCTTCGTCCAGCCTATGTGCCGGCCTCCTATGTGGTCGGCCTGCTGGGGCCTGTCGGGGGCAGCGGCTTCCTCCCCCAACCGGGGTGGCCTGTGCTGGTGGCGTGGGGTGACCTTGTGCTGGTGGCGTGGGGTGCCCCCCTCCAGTCTGTCTGCTTGCTGCCGAGTAGTTTCTAGGTTAAAACCTTGCCCGGCTTCTTGCTATGGGCCGGCGGCGGTGGCGCGGTCTGCGTCATGTCCTTCTTGGAGGCGTCGTCGTAGTAACTACTCGTCACGAGCGATGGGGCAGGTGCTTGGACGAAAGTCCTCATGCGCTACTTCCAACATTGATGGCAGCTGCGGATGCCATTCCCTTCTTGAAGGCCTTGTTGGAGCACGTCTGCCATGCCGATCCTCTCGCCGGAGTGTCTCTGTGTTGTGCCTATGTGTGCCCAACTTGCTCTTCACTTTGGTCCGTCCACCGTGTCCAGTGCTGTCGCCATTGTTTTGGCTCTTCGCAGCGGATGCTTGGTCGCTCGCGCTCTCCTTGACGGATTGTGGCGGTATGGCCCCTAGTATCCACAAGACAAGACATGGGCCGCACCATCAGAGGTGACCCAGCTCATAAGATCAAGGCGTGCACGGCACTGCTCGGCGTGCATCGTAAGATATTGTATAGTATTAAATATGATACTTTTCTTGTAACCCTACCTCTCCAGAGTATATAAGGAGAGGTAGGGGTCCCCTAGACGACAGCAACATAGATCTACGTACATCTCATATTCAATACAATACAACAAAGACACACACATGACGTAAGGTATTACGTCGATCAGACAGCCCGAACCTGTCTAAATCGCTGTCTTTGCGCCTTGTGTCACCATCCGGTTCCTGATCACACGCACCTCCACCGATCAGTCTACCTTCGTGGATACCCCTCGGAGGACTGCCGAGCATCTTTTGTCGACAGTTGACGTGCTAGGTAGGGATGTGCGCTTGATCTATGGCGGGCCAGATGGGATCTCAAGATCAATGTTGCTCGCAGCAACTCCGACGACCACGACGGCGTCCCTAGCCTACCCGATGAGGCTCGACATCGAAGCGCGTCGGACGACAGCGTGACGCAATCTCGCGGCGCACTCTAGGGTGGCATCATCTCCATCATCGCTCCGTGCTCCGCGCTCCTGCCGTGCTCTCCACGAACGACGCCGCGATGGCCTGTGCATGCAAATTCAGCATGTATATATGTCCTCGTCACGCATGCACACGTACAGAGGCTTCTGTCATCAAATCCGATCCCAGACTTCACGCAGGGTCAGGGGACAAGTCGAACTGCGACTCTGCCTTCTCCGTCTCCAACACGCATCAATATTCAAATCAAGCAATCTAGAAGTTTTAGTCGTCACGAGACGGTGACACACACACGTGCAGCGACTTGCAAGCCAAACCAATCTTGTTTGCTTGCATGTGTACGTACATCTCCATGCATGATCCGACGATTCGACTCGACACAAAGCCCTGCAGCAATGGCAACAACATGGAAGACGATCCAGAACTACTCGGCAACTACTCGGTTTGATCAAGAATATGCCGGGGAGCAGCTCTGACCGCTTGACTGTGGCAATTGACTACTCCGCTCGACCATCCTAAAGCGCCGTGTAGCATCGCTTCTCCGACTAAATTGAATGCGGCTACGGCAACGATCTCTCCATATCTGATCTGCCTAATGCCGACCAGATAACGTCATACGCCGCCGACTAGACGTTCCGTCTAAAACTAAGTCACGCTTCAATATTTCACTACTACAGAAATTAACTGTAGGGGCGGCTCTAGAGCCTATCTAGGGGCGGCTGCGCCAGCCGTCCCTCCCAGGTTGTTCCTATAGAGGGTGCCTCTGTAGGGGCGGTTTCTTGACCGCCCCTGCAGTACCCTCTGTAGGGGCGGCTGGTGTTTTCAGCCGCCCCTACAGTGCCCTCTGTAGGGGCGGCTGGTAATATCAACCGCCCCTGTAGTGGACTTCTGTAAAGACGGCTGTATCACCAGCCGCCCCTGTTGTGTGTATTTGTAAGGGCGGTTCAATGAAGAACCGCCCCTACAGTAGATTTTCCAGCAAAAAAAATTAAATAATTCAAATTCAAATCTGACCACACATATATATATATATATATATATATAATATATATATATATATATATATATATAATTCAAATTCGAATCTGACCGCAACAAATATACATATATACATCCACAAACACAAGACCATGTTGAAAACTTTAGAAGGCGCAAGTATTAGCTTCCATGTTGAAAAACATGACAAGAGTAAATAATTTATCAAAAACTATTGTGACAGTTCTATCATTCTCTCATAAATATAGAATTTTATCTCAGATTTTCTACAATCCTTTAGGAAGCTGTTGATATCAGTGCAACCACAAACTTCAATCTTAACTCATGCTAATTTAGTCCACAACGAGAAATGACAGATGAAGTACACTGGAGCTATCACTAGACCAAGATACTCACAGGAGTGAAGAACTTGGATACACTTAGAGGTATATAGCCAGGTAGTCCACCAATCTGAAAGAATACAGAAAAAATGAAAGAATCAGCTGATGCACTTAGATGACACTACCATAAGTTACATGTGCTATAAAATCAATTTTCTCAGGAATCAGGTGTAAAGCTTCTATGTTGCACAAACTCTGAACCCAACAAAAACAGTACCACACCACATATATAGAAGCTGGAAATATCCCAAGTTTTATTTTTAGTTCCCAGACTTTGTGTATAGAGCATAGAACATATATTGAAGCCAATTACTAAAAGAAATTCAAGTTTGGATGTTGCAAGTTGTGACAAAGTGGTACAGATACATGTGGAGATAGTATATCGAACAAAATGTATGCATAGATAATTAGATATCAATTTCCAAGGTAAAGCTTGGTACAAGTACATTTAAGTTAGAATCTTACATTATACAAGTCAATTACCAGTTCATCAGGGTTTGGCGAAAATGCACTGTTGATATAGACAAACTGTTGGCAACACAGACCACAACTCAGTAAAATTCCAGTGTCATAGATAAAATTCTCATAGAACTGACAATTATATTCCTACCGGTGTATCTTGATGAAGTTGTCGTGAAGAAACTCTATGACCTTCAAAAACTTATCTCGTCACGAAATCAGTACGAGATACACAAATAACAACTTAATCAGGTTCAAGGTATGAAAACAAAGGAGAACGTCACTTAAGCCAATTTCAGGGACAGACTGCAGTAACAAGCTGATGATGATAGGATTTAACAAAATCAACCACTTGAACTAAATCCTTGTGCCAAGGTTTACTTAGTGACATACTGACATGAGGCAAAGATCATGTCTAAAGGACTAACCAGAGGAAAGATTACAGCGACTTTTTCACAAAAGAGAAATAAACACTACCAATAAGAAGCATTTAAGCAACTACATGGAACTCACTCTCTCTTAGTACTACACGACACAACATATATGGATCTAGCTGCGAGGGACAGTGCCATGGACGACACCCACCATATGCTCGATCAAATGACTACAAAGTTTAGCTCTCTTTAGCGGACAGTTATACTTTGCATATGAAGGGCTTCTTTAACTGATAGAAAACTTTGGTCTTTGATTCATTAGAATCTGCTAAACCATACCTATCACAGTGAAGAAAATAAGAATCTTTTGTAAACGAAGACATGATTTTTAGAGGCCTCAGAAACATAGCAATCATCATTTGTTCATCAACTTGGAGCGTCAAGGCATGGTGTTAACTGATGGCCAAAAAAAGGCATGGTCCTAATTGGTTTACCCTCAGAAACTGCATGATATCAGTAACATAACACTCATGCCCAGTACCTCACAAGCGAGCGAACATCAGATCATATCATTGAGCAATGCACATGTAATTTTCATCACAGGCTCAAGAAGGAAACAATAGCAAGGCGAGAGGGACGGCTGCTTGTATTGGAAGCTGTGTTGCTGAGGTGGACCAATCAGATAAGACGAAGATGATGCGGTGCTGG